GTGGGGTATCGCTATCTTGGGATTAGAAGTGAGGGCGTGCCACCTAGGGGTGGGATGGGGTGGTTTGAAAAATACTTTGTTTGCGTCATTTAGCTGGGTCCCAATTTGTAACTTATACTGAAATTTTTTTTCATTAATGTCCACCTAACGGTTCGTGTGGGTAGTTTTTCACTACCCAAAAAACTTTACGATCATCATTTAGCATTTTTCATGAGCTTTCCAAAAAGACGCCACAAGTGGGGTGTTTCTATTTAAGATTTTCAAGTGAGTAGAGGTGCCTCCTAAGGGTAGGTCGGGGTGGTTCAAAAATACGTCATATGTCCCCTCGATATTATAGAACGGTATTTTTTATTTTGATATCTTTTGGTTTAAAAAATTATAGCCATTGTAAGTTAGTGGACCCTGTATATAGATATTTAAAGGTAATACCTTGTAAATAATTACAGGGTGGCGCACTTCATTCGCCTCGGTCGACTCGGTCGATTATACGAGAACCGGAAAGATGTAGAAACAAAATTTTTATGAGTATATGTAGAGAGGCAATATGCATAATTTAAAATTATTTTCAAATGTACAGGGTATGTCAGAACTAGATCCATACCAAGGTTATATTTTTCTTATGGAAGGAACGCGAAGTATTTTATTGTTTTTGGATTCTTGTACACAAAATAAGGCATTTATTATAAGGGTTTAATATGTTTAAAAGCTTTGGTTTTGGGATATTTAAAGATACTTAAATATGCATGTTATAATAAAAAAGTTTATCAACACCTTGTACATTACTTTTCAGAATTAATTCTGTGCTGACCTTCACGGCGAAATAAACTTTACTAAAAAATTTGATTTTTTTTATATTAAATAAATATGAATGAACTAAAAGATCAAAATTAAGCGGGTCTATTTTAAATATTTATTTTACATAAAATCTCTGTTATTTCAAATTCTTTTGAAAAACGAATATATTTTAATTCATGCTTCGGCAGGCGTTTACCTAATATCTTGACGCCGTTTTTTTTTCGATTATTTGTATTTACCACTACCATTATTTGTTCAAGTAATAACAACTAATAAAAAATTAAAATTCTTGGTCCACATTTCAGACAGAAGATCATAAGGAACCAGAGCGACATATTTTCTTTACAAGACGCCCCCACCACTTTACAAACATCAATATTTTCCGTCAACGGTTCACCGTCGAGAAGAGTTTTCAGAAAGCAGGAACCTGCAGGGCACGTATTCCAAAGGTAAGCAGAAGAATAAGATAAAAAATAAGTAAAAAATCGTATAAATGTACCTATGTCCTAAAACGCTTAATTTCGGCGATAGAGGGTGTGGAAGTTTCATTTTTATTTCGAATTTTCCAAATAACTTCTAAAGTAACGACAAAATTTGGAGGAAAAATTGGTGTCTGGGAGATTTTTGACATGAGAAATTTTATTTTGATGTCAATATGATTTCTATTTGTAGGGGGCGCTACATGTGTTTTAACGATAGACTTAAAATAAAATATAGACTACACTATTTACATCTCAACGCGGTCAAACAAGCTTTTTTGTACACATGTTTACTTCTGGGTACAGTCGACCGACCTTTCTTCATCCAGCCTATGTTGTCACGTCTTTAATATTATCAATATTTTTTTCTTGTTATACACATATATTGAGATATTAATACTACAGTTTAATAAAGTAGTTTTAATATTCCATAGATGTATTAAATCGTCCTTCTACTACTAAATTATAAGTCGGATACTGCTTAAAAAGGATAAGTTCTTTACAATATGACAACACCTAGAGGCGAGGGAGCCTATTCATTCATTTATTACCTTACAGTACGTGTCGCACGTGTGCAGTAAAGCTTTGTTGCCGCTATGTCCCCGGCTGTATTAACGCATTTTCTTAGCTTGTAGTCCTTAAGTATTATTTTATTGACTTTTTTCTGTTCAAGAACTACTAAAATATGGTTCGCCAGAGCCAAATTTTTGTAAAGAAAATTTGACTTAAATAATCCATTTAAGTCTTGAAACGACTTTTGACCGGTAGGCAACTCTCAACTTACCCATTGGGAGTCAGTGGTGTTGTAGGCGGCGCTTATTTAGATAATATTTTAGTAAAAATGTAAAATCTTTTCTACATTATTTACTTACTTACATTGTGTAACAAAATCATAATTATAACCCTGTTAATAATTAATATTTTTATTAAAAATATATCCCGGTTTATTCTAAAATTATCTTCAGAATTTAAAATAACGTACAAGAATTTTAAAATATTACATTACGAAACAACAGTTTTTTAATATATTTAAAAAAAAATTCAAAAGTGGCTCACCCTATAATGTTTTTATTTTTTCAGATAAAAACAGTTAGTAGGTATGACATAAATTAGAACAGATTAACATATTCAATTGATTTCAATCACTTCCTGTTACACCACAAATCACTACAACTTTTGATTTTTAAAGGCACTGCCTTTGACAAAATGATTATTTGAAGAATGACATATCATATGTCTGAACTTTAAATTTCAATCCAGGGTACCATGGTGTTGTTAAAAACACTAAGTTTTAATCAAGGAGTCTTGGAAAAATAATTTTGACTTCAATGGGCTTCGTGTCTTGTCTAGGCCGGTAAAAAGATGTACAACCGTATTTTTCATCATACAATATGTCAATTTTTTCAAATGGAACAAGGGTGACCCATTAGCATATTTGGAAAAACTTGGTATTTCGAGTCAAATTGTCGTTATGAACCGCATGTTACAATTTTTTATTTTTCAATTAAACCATATGCAAAATGTCAAAAAGTTGACATGATATGTCATTCTATTCAGAGTGTCATTTCTTATCGAATAAGTAGAAATATACGAGGGTGCCGTTTAAAAATTAAAAGTTATAGTCATTTCCGGTGCAACAGCAAGTGACCAAAACAATTGAATGCGTCAATCAACTTAATATATGTCATATACTAACATATTCAAATCTTAGCTTATTTGAAAATATAAAAATTATGGGGATGAGCCCTTTTGGGACGCACCCGGCATAATAAAGACAGTACCGAGTTAAATAAATGTAGTTTTCATTTTATCCACTTCTTATCGCCTTCCTTGCTTTAATGGAATAGATTTATGTTATCTCTAATTTACATAATAAAAAAAAAAAAAAAAAAAAAAAAATACAACAATCATATTTTTTTTCTGCTGTCGTCGATTCTATTATATCTGTGAATAGATCCTGTTTTGATTAATATTAGGGGTTATAAATGACTAAAATTAATAATTTATTATTACTTTAAAAATCTAAAAAAAAAAAAAAAAATTATAAAATTTCTTCTATAACGTGTATTTTATTATTTTTATCCTTTTGGACTCTAAGACGTTTTTTTCTAAACTTTTATTTAAAAACCTGTCCTAAATCTTAATAAAATATAAAAAGTTTAAATATGATATATTTTTAATTTAATTATAGCTTCATTAAAAATAAAAAAAAATTACCTGGCTATGATACGGAGAGTTCTGGTGTACTTGAGAAACGAAAGACAGTGTTGTGTTTCGCGTCAGAGTCGTCAGGGAACGACCGTTACGACAGAGACAACCTATCTATCGCTCGTGTCGCACTCGTTATAACTTTAAACAACACAACAATAATAATGATATTGTCTGACCGCATGTTCCAGCTATTTATGAATGAGATGCTCAGTCTATATTTTATTTTAAGTCTATGGTTTTAACTCTTTTGAAGAGTAATAACTTTTCGTCCGTACCCGTATAAAACTACTGAGTAAAAAATATATATTTCCGTGATTTTTTACGTAAAAAATGTTACTTGGTAAAAATCGCTACGAGCAACCGTTCTCAAGATATTTAGAATGGAAACAGTCAATACATGTCATTATTGACAAAAAATAAACATGTTGAGTAGATACTTATTTGACTGAAATGATAAATTTGGGAACTTTTTAGACATACAAATATTAACTATAATCAATACTCTTTTGTTGATTTATAATTTTTTTTTCGATCATTGAACTGACAAAAACAATAATTCAGTCAGTCGTAAAAACAAACATTATATCTTACTGTCAATGTTTTATAGTAATATAATTATTAACGTAGGTTTCGTAGCGTACAAAATTACACTTTTGGTGTCATATGCCATAACTGCGAAAAATTAAAACCGCAGAATGTGAAACAGCCCACTCATTTTTTTGCAGTTTAAATACTTCCCGTATTTTAGAAAGTAAAAGATGCCCACCTTGGTTCAAAAATAGAAATGCACAATATAAACATAACGTGTTTATAATTTTAGTAGAAGTTATTTTGGAAAATGATATGGTGTAATTTAAATTACCAGCTTTATTGGGTTTTCTTATTACCGATTCTGAACCGTCCTAGAACTATCATACGCATGCGCAGGAGGAAATAAGAGGCAACATTTTATCTGCGCGTGCGCTGTAGAGCTCCAGGACGGTTCGGAATCGGTAATAAGAAGAATCGGTAAGCTATTAAAACTTTTATTATTGCATTTCGATTAGGTGATAATTACCTCGTTTCGAAAAGCGTCTGAAGGTAGGCGGCCACTGCGAGCGTAACTAAACTAAGTTAAGAATATAAAAACAAACGGTAACTAAACGAAAACAAGTTTCATCGGCCACTGGTAACGATTTTCGCTCAGTAGTCAGCTAAGTTAGCTGCGTTTTCGTATTGTATCTGTGCTGTCATAGCCAGTTTGGGTATAGTCTGTGAAACGAATAACTTTGAATTTGACAGTTTCCACGGGCTTTTCTAGTGTTAATTTTATTAGGTTAGCAACTTGTTAGCAGCTGGCGGCCATGCAGGGCCATGCTGACGCAATGCCGTCTCTAATAGAACAACCTCGGAGGGAGATTTATGACGTCACGCTAACATAATTATTCCTTATATTTGACTATGGCTGAAATCGTACTCCATAGTCAATGTAGATAGTTTTAGTGTTAATAATAATAATTTTAAAAAATATGTGGTCAACTTTTGACAAGTTTATATTAGTTTATTAATTGTTTGTAAACATTATTGTGGTGTGAATATTTTATATGCAATTTTTTGGATTATATTCGACACTATTTTTTTTATATGACACAACACTAATGAAGGCTATAATGTTAGCCGAAACGTTTTTTTTAAACCAAAAAAAAATAATGAAAACTTAATCAGCGTTGTTCCCGAACCTAAATCCCAAGAAAATCAAGAATTTTAGAATAATTTTACATTATAAAATGACAGCGAGGCTGTTCTATTAGAGACGGCATTGGTCTGATATTGAGAAATGTCAAAAGCTGATGACATTTTACTTTTGACAATTATGCCATTTCGTGTTGATTTTTGCAAGAAGAGGGAAGAACTGTCACTTGTTTTATTATTTTCCTTTTCTATTTCACGAAAGTAAAAAGAGTTACCTATCTGATTCGTTCAGGCACTCAATTTAAAGAATACTTAAAGAATATCAGTAACTTTTTTGACAAAGGGGTTTTATATTTGCCATGTTGGTAAAAAATAACGGTCAAAATTCAAAGTTATTCATTTTATAGACCATAGTAAAATTAATACAAACTGTTTTAGAAGTGAAGATAGCGATGTAAAATCGGCATTAAAGAGCAGAATAACCAGGGAAAATTACAACGATGAAAAAAGACCCTCAAGCTCTTACAGAAACCCATTAACTGGTACCGGACTGTCTTCCAACGACGAATACAAGAGTAAGGGACTCAAACGAAAAGGTAAGTATACATGGATACCAAAATCATTCATTTATTTTTATTGTTGATTACAACAACTCCAAACTATTTTTGTAATTTTCATTGAAAAGTTGTATATACTGATCCCAAAATCATATAGAAGCTATACCAATTAAGCTTTTAGTTACGTAATCGAGGGCGCGATTTTTAAATTCATTGTTGCCAACGGTGGACATATTCGACGTCAGGCTGACTAACTGGAATTTAAATGTCCCGCTGGGATTCAGGCTGTAGCTCTGTTGTAAAAAATGTCAAGTTGCCACATTTATTGATTTATTTCCTGACATTGTCATTCGTTTTGACACTTTAGTCTTGAATTACGAGTTTTTGGTTTAAATTAATTTTGTTTTAATACCTTTAAGCTTAAATTTTTTTACTAGCAGACCTTGCAGTCGAACATTGTTCTTTTTAGAACCTCTTTTAGTGCGAAGTGTACAAGATAGCTTAATAGCTGTAAAAAGGTCATCGCAACTTTATTAAAATATTTTGAACGGGGAAAGCGGTAGTAATTTTTGTCCCTTTATTGGTTGTAATTTTTGCCCCTTATATTTTTGTCCCTTAAGTGCTGTTGTGAAAGTTTTGTTGATGTAAATAATAATAACAGTTTATATATTTATCATTAACTTATTTTTGTTTCCTAAAATATTTTGATTAAAAGAAAATAGGTAAAAGTGGGCAACGCTGTGCCGGTCAAGCTTAATCACGTGACTAAAAGTTTATTTGGTATGTTCTATATTAGGGTTATTTATTAACGCATTAAAATAAACGGTGTTATATTTTTTCTAGATGGAAATCCTCTGTTAGGTCTCGGATATGACGCCGAACTGCCAACGATCAACTCGCAGCACAGAATACCACCTGGTGGACACTCACAAATTATGGTTGAAACCGATCAAAACGATAGTCAAATCATAATTCTACAAAATTATATGTGCATAAATATTGTAATACAAAAATATATAGCCGAACAAAATATTTTACTTATTATAAATACACTTCTAACAAGCAGAAAGTCTGACCAAGGTCCAAGAAAGTATGTTTAGCTGGTCCGCCTATGCCGAAAACATTGCGAACTGTAACGCCTATTGTGTATATCCTCTTAACAGAAACAGTTAGACAGACTACACAAGTTGTGACACAAGATTGTAAATTTTATCATCATCTACTATAACATCTCATGGGCACCTTAAAATTTTCATGTATTTTAAAATTTTATATATTGTGTTCTAGTGCGCCGATTTTTATGATTTTTTAAGCATTTTGTACCTAAATTATTTGACTTTTTAGTATCTCTTTCTAAATTAAAAATGAAAGCTGTGATCTGTCAGTTATACGAGGGAAATCAAAATGTTGATATTTTGGTGAAAGTTTGAAACACACTTTCGAGTACGTTAACAATGCAAGGAATTTAGAAATCATTTTATCATCTAGGTAGATATATTTTTTCTCGATAGTTTGTTTTTTATTCATCTCAATAGCTTTATTTTTTGGATATTCGCTTTTGAAGAAGACACTAAAAATGTTTTCTTTTTTTTTATATTAAATAACGCCTTTGCCTTTGGTCCTAGTCAACAGACCTATAAAATAGTGTTAATGATCATGATTATAATTATTTATTATGTAACATTTCAGACATAATAAAAGACTAAAGATTGAAAATATACCATTTTGATGAGGATAATTACTCAAGGGGAACACTGTATTTTTATATATTGTTTTTATTTAAAATATTTAGGGAAATTCAACTATAATAGTAGACATTTTTAAACCTACTTGTTAAGTAACGAGCAATATCTTTTTATTTATGCCTAAACGATACTAATTTTCCAGCTCGTCAACTATGGCGATGGCTTACAAAACTAATTGCTTAATAATCTTTTAGCGACTTAGAAATTTGCGCCTCGTTTCGTAGCTTTAACGTTTTGCACCATTTAAATCAAATCGAAGGTCGTGTAAATGTTACACCGCAATTAAATAAGTTCAGACAAATTAAATAACAATTTTTAAAGTTGTCTGCCTATAATAAGTAGCTAATTTTTATCGAGCGTTGCACAGAACGGTTTCATAATAAACGCATGTCGTCATATATGTTAGAATGCTAATTATTTTTTAGCACTTTCTTCTTTGATAATTCCCGCATTTTTCGATGGATACACCGCAATGTATTTATCTATTTGAAATATATGAAACCACCATTACATTTAGTCTGACTCTCGGTACATACTAGCTCTGGTAACTTTATCTTCGTGGTCTGTATTTTAATGCATACGACAGAGATAAATATATACGACCAGTTAACAGACAGAGAGACAAAATAAAAACGCGGCATACACTGTTGCCGGTTCGTACGAGAAATAAAATAATAAACCAAGATAATATATCTCAATAATGCTCATTTCTGGACATTTTATCAAGAATATATTACCAGCTGTAGTAAAATGAGCAACTAATTGTGAAAAATAAAGTTCCAACCCTAGATGCAACATTTTTCGTAAACACATACTTGTGCGGTTTGAAATTTTGATGCAAAATCCGGCAATACCGCATAGAAGAAATTTATCAACCTAACTTTTATCTCTTTTTAATACATTTGATTTTTCATTTAAGCTGTCTACATCACTGTCTTACACGTTAAAATCCAGACCACGCCGCTTCGATGACCAGATCGGTATACCATATTATCTTTATACATCTTTATTATTTTTTATTAGTTCCCTTTGTATAGTTTTTACAGGTAGCCACAGCACAATTTGACATTTTCTATTAATACGAGAGTAGTATACCCCGCTGGCAAACGAACCTTTAGGTCGGCGTTTACATGTATAGGAGTGAGTTGTTATGGCAGTCTAGTAAGTCGGAGTAAGCAAAAATACGAAGTATTTATTACATAACTACTTAATCTGACGATAGATTCCATGCGCTTGGGAAAATACTCGCCTTCTGTATATATTCAGGACATCTGATTTTACTCAGCGTGTTGGCCGTACTCTTCATACACATGAAAACTGACACCCAAGACCAGAAATGCCGACCCTTAGTATATGTTTATTGACGTTTACTCAAGTAGAGATGGTTTTAAGTTCTGAAGTATTGGCTATTGCTTCTATCGGCTTTTGCGATTGATCATGGTAGAGATGATCAACTTTTGGACATAAAATCATATCTGCTAGAGTAACTGCCCAACAGACAATAATAATGTGATTTTTTCTAAGACAGTGACATTTACATGTTGACATTAATTAATGTTTATTATGTTTATAATTATTTTTCTTGTATCTTATTGAAATTAGTTATTGAAGTGAAACTTCTTTACGCGCGCTGGTAGTAAAAATTCAAGGCCGTGACACAACACGCGACACAACAGGAGAGAGGAAAAGTGATAAGATGTCGATAGATTGAACCAGGACACGTGTCACTGTAACAGTTTCGACGTAAGAAACGTCAAAAGTTGATGTCCGATCGCGACCAAATTCAGAAGGTATGTGAGCGACAGTGCACACGGCCCCACCCTGCAAAGTTAGATACGACGTTTCATTTACATCTTCATCAGGGTGGGACTAAGGATTTGATATTGAAGAAAAATGTGGGTCGATTTAGGCATAATTCTGGACAGGCTACAGGATGACGCCCTCAAAGTTTCGAACCTATACCTCTAAATGGACGAAATCATCAGGATGTTTCTTAATTATGGGTCGATTGCAACCAAACTCGACACCTGGATAGAGGTACCCGAATGGACTCCTCAGACGGACAGACGGTAATTTTAATACAATTTTGTAAAAGTGAATTAAATTATTTATTAATTTTTAATTTATTACTTTTTCAAACTACACTTTTTCAAACATGTCCTTCAAATCTGTCAATTTAATAGGTGTTAGTAAGAAGTTTCTGTTCAAATATACCCACATAGTGCACAAACAATTTTTTTTTGGTATTAGTTATTATTTTATTTTTTAATTTAAACTTCATTATTAACGTACTTGGGAGAATGCAGTCATTTTCTAATTACACATTGTATTTTACCATATGTGAGGAATAAAAACTATAAATAAAATGAAAAAAAAAACTTTAAATGCTTTTCAATTCAACATTTCATATTTTCAATCAGGGCCGGCGGAAGGAAAATATTGAGACCGGGCGAGTACCCTATATGGCGCCCCCCTCCCCCTCCTTAACAGTTATTATAACTCCTTATTTTTCCTTCAGTCCTATACTTTAACTACAAACTAAGCATATTTACGCTACTTTAACAAAAAATTTTCACTTAAAGATACTTCAAAATTCTTCTCTTCGTTCAATCTTAGTCTACGATTGTTGTTTTTTCTACACCGGTCTTGAAAGTGACTCACTCCTATAATTTATTTTATTTTTTTAGATAAAAAAAACGAGTTTTGGTATGCTGGTATATGACATATATTAGGTTTGATTGACGTATTCAATGGTTTTTAATCACTTCCTGTTTGACCGGAAATGACTAAAACTTTTGATTTTTAAATGCACCCTCGGTATATTTCTACTTTATTCCAAAAGAAAATGATATTCTGAGTACAATGGCATATCATATGTCAACTTTTGACATTTTTTTTTTTTTTTTTAATTTATAAATTTTAATCTATAGTGCCAGGGCTGTGTTTAAAATAAAACAAATAAAGGGAGAGAAACTTCCTGAGACGATGCGGCACCCGGTATAATTAGAGCATAAGAATATATTCCAACTTTCGCAGTCTCGTTCTGGTATAATAATATTTGAAAACATTTTTTTTTTTTGTTTTATTTTCAAGCAGTTGCATTATATTTATTATAGTTTTATTATTAAGCAATTTAAAGAAAAATGTTTTTTTATTTTTTTTTCACAAACAATTACATATTTAGTGCAGAATCAGTATTTATGATCAGACAGTTTTGTCGACTTTCAAAATGAGGATCAGCCAATGTTTAAGATGCATTTCTTTGTGTGATTCCTCAGATGAGAAAATTTCCTACATTTTGGCGGTATCATTTTCAGTGTATTACTAACATATATTCAATTCGGAACAATCAAAAACCACCAAATTATTGATAATCTTTTCCCACCTACCTATCTAATAATTAATTTAATTAATGAGGCAAACTTATAAGTTTTTTTTTTTTGAATTAATAAGAAAAGTCGGGATCCTCTTCAGCTTATTGCAAATGAATATTTGCCTCATATAACTTTAGGGCATGTCAGCCATTAATAACAAAAAGGGTGTTGGATAGTGAAGAAAAGTGAGCGGAATTTTTGAGCAGTCATAGTCTAATACTGTCAGTTTTGCTGGCTCTTGACCCCAAACAGTTTGTTTAGAAATTTATAAAAACGGGAATTATAGAATGAAGGATTATAAACAAGTTGTTAGGCTTTTGAGATTATAAGAAAATGCCAACGAACAAATCCAATTTATTATTGTTTATTTAATGTTTGGTTTAATATTGATTTTGACCACGAAAATGAATTTGCAAATCCCAGTTTCGAATAGAGCACCGATAAAACATATAGAATAGAAGAAATCAAAACTATTCCAAAGCTTTCGTGCTAAGGATTTTTTTGAGCATAATTTCAGTAATATAACTGTAATTTAGATACATCTAGGAATATAGTGTTAAGGTGGTTTTATCAATGTTTAGTCAGTATTCTTCTCTAATGTGGTGTGGTAATAAGCTAATCGTGTTATGTGGGAAATTGGCAAGTACCAATTAATTATTGAACTGAAAATATTAGTTACTATTTGTTATGATTAGCGCGAGCCCCGGGCGGGCCGACCCGGGTCGCCCGCGGCCCTTCCGCGGCCCTGTTTCAATCGATTTTATGCACAACAAGCAGCTCGAAAACAAGATCTTAAAAGACTTCTCAAGAAC